GAAAGAAAAAATTATTATTATCGTTATTATTAGTAGTAATAGTATTATTATTAATTAATTATTTTTTATTACTTAATAAAAAATACGCAAAAAATCATTTTCTTCAAATATATAAAATTACATGATTCTGGTTGTATAATTTAAAATCAATATATGTCAAATCATATATCGATTTTAAATTATACAACCAGAATCTTGTAATTTTTATATATTTGAAGAAAATGAATTAGTTCCAGTTGCAACTGGAATTATTGATTTCTTGTGTGTTTTTGAAATTTATAATGAAACAAAGTGAGATATATCTTGCGGTTGCCAGATGCTGTTGACAAAGGTTATCATATTACATAATTTCAATATTTATTATCCAAGAGAAATGAAATTTTGTTTTTATTAAAACAAAAATTCTTAAATTAGAAACCATTATTCCTAAATATGTGATGCTCTCTGAAGAAATAGGTTAGAAGCAAACAAATTATAAGTTATGTTTCATCTTTATTAAAAAGTTTTTTTTTTATTAATGTAAATATCAATTTTTCATTGAATATTTTCCATTAAAATAATATTGATGATTCTCTTTGTGAAGTTTCACTTAAAAAATATTGAAACGTTTCGAAACATAACCTACAATTATTTTTTTTGACTCTAACATCTTTTTTCTTATTGGAGCGTCACATATTTGAATAAAAAAAAAAAATGTTTTAAATATTTAAAATTCTTTATCTTAAATTTGAAAAAAAATAAATTTTTATAAAAAAATGATTTTTCAAAAGTAATTCCAATTCGTACGAAAAAAAAAATGAAAAGTAAATTGTGATTTAAAAAAAAACTACAATTTCATCGCCAGACTAACACTTGTTAAAAAAATATAATTATTAATATTGTTTGGAGTAGTTGACGAACGTTTTTGACAGGATACAGGTTACCAGCGATGCCTTGGAGCTGGTTAGGAGCTGCGGCACCATCAGCGGCAGCAGCAGCGGCAGTTGCAGCAGCCGCTGTTACACCATCACCAGCAGCAGCACCCCTTGTTCTTACACCAAGAGCCGCGGCGAGACGGAGGTACAAACAAATCTTTAAAAAAAAAAAAAAAACCCCTTTCTTCAAGAAAATCCTCTATTTTTTTTCCCAACCCCTTTTTTTGCTGCCGTTATATAATATTCGTATGCAATTATATGCTACCATATTAAATGTCCTCCAACATTCCCCGTTCTTTTTTTTTTTGTCATGTATACAAAACCATCTCACACCCTCTCTTTCTACTTAACCTGTACTGCCTCTTTTTCTTCTTATTATACTTCTTCTCGTTATAATACATCTCCTCTCGTGCTCCAGACGCTCACGCGTGCAACTTAACCCCGCCAGCACCACCCTATATATGTGTATATGTATAGTGTACTTGCAAGAACCCTTGAATTCTGTATTCTGTTATAGCACCTACACGAATTACACAGGTCTTGCATTCGTTTCACGTTATACATATACAAATATATATATTTAGTTGACTGTTGACACTGTCGAGACCCTTTTTTTTGTCAAAGGCACGCATCGTTGTATATAAAATCCATTTCCACGAAAAACCACATAGTTTCTAGTTCTGCAGAATTTATATTTATTTTGTGATCAGAAGTGTCATTTATTGTCTTGTTTTTTTTGCAGAATTAATTAAGAAACTAGAGCAAAAAGGTTTTTACACCCAGTGGAGTAATTATTTACTTACACCCAGTAAAAGATTTTACTTTTCATTTTGAGAATTTATTTGAATCAAATAACAATATATTTGCCTCAGAGTCCTAATAATCTTTTTTATTTCAAGTAAAAAATTTAATTTATCACAAACAAAATTTTATTTAGTAGAAAAATATAAAGAAACTCCCACTAGCCATAGAGAGTGATAACGATTTTTCTTTTCTGTTTTTGTCGTCTTTTTTTCAGTATAAGCGATTAAAAATATCTGCTAAACACAAAACGCATGCGCAGATTGAATTTATTCATCCGCCATTCATCTCTCACCTGAGTTGCAACAGTTTCTCCGCAAGAGCGCTAGTATCGTTGACTAAGAACGACTTGAACAGAAAAGAAAAATTGTCATCAAAATTTTTATGATTGTATCAATAGATTTTTTTATTTTTATTTTTTGAATCAACAAATTGACAGAATTTATTTTTAAAACAAATTTTTACTTAACAGAATTCTTATATTTATCGAATTTTTTATTGTACAGAATACTTAAAACGCCGCATTTTTATTTGTCCGAAATTGCAAATGGCCGAACAAACATAACCTATAAAATGGTTTTGGCGCGAGTTTTAAATTTCGATCAATCACAATTTTCTCGATAATTTTTGATTGGTTGACTTTTAAAACTCATAAATAAAAATTCGTCGTTTTATGAATTCTTTAAAATAAAAATTCGGTGCCTAAAAATTCTGTTAATTAAAAATTCTCTAAAAAAAAAGAAATTTTGATAAATGTTAATTAAAAGATTATCTAAAATCGTAATTTTATTTTTAATATGGTTAAAAATATTTCGTTTAAAAACTCCTTCATATAATTTAATAATAATTTGTTAAAATTTCGTTAGAAAAAAAAAGTTGGTTAAAAAATTATATTAATTGCAAAATAATAAAAATATTCTAACTATAAAGTAGAAAGGTTAAAGTTAAATCAAAAAATAATTCTTTTGATTTAACTTTAACCTTTATAACTATATTGCTATATAAAACATTTTTTTTTTTTTTTTGCCGAAATTTTAACAATTATTTTTTTGGTATAAACAAAACTTTTTTTCTGTTTATATATACACTGAAAATAAATTTAATTCAAATAATCGTTCACTTAATAATCAGTTTGACTATTATCAAATAAATATTTATTTGTATTAAATAATTGTTATTCAAGTTAAGTAAATGGTACAGAAATACGGAAAATATTTAATTTAAATAAAAATTATTATTTGGTTGAAGTAAATATTTATTTGATAACAGTCAAGTAACAAAAAAATAAATAAATTTTGAAAAATCACATTTTGCTCTGGTTTGTATTTTTTTTATTCTATACAAGAAATATATTTTTAAATACAATTAAATTTAATTCACATATATTGAATATTAAATTATTCGAATGAATTTCTGAATTTATTTTATTTATAAATATTTCGCATGATAAATGTAACTTCTGTGTCGCAAATTAAACAAAAACAAATGTTTAATCAATAATTATGATTAAATTTTAACTATGTTTTGTTGTTAACCCCTCTGTTGGAATGTGCCTGCTATTTTTTTGCATCATCACGCTCTATAGAATTTGTCCTAATACACTGACATAGGCAGAAAAAAACAATATAATACTTTTATATAGTTTTCTATATTTTTTATTGAATGCTCAATGATTTAGTGAGCTAACACTGCACTCACTGCAAAACTTATTATTATTGTTGAGATTGTTGATGTTTCTCCATTGCGGATCTCTTTCCAGATAAGTTATATAATATATAATATATCAAATTTCTCGAATTTCTATTCAATCTTGAAGAGACTATCCAATATCAAAATTTTCCTTTAATAATTATTATCCCTTATTTTAAAAATTGTTTCTTAGAAATTTATTCTATTCGAGACGCATGATTGTATTTTAAAAATCATTAGTTGGAATTTTATATTATGGAATTTCATTTGTCATAATTATTTTTGAGCCGAATTTTTATTTGTTCGAATTAGTATTTTTGCAAGAATTTTCATTAAAACGATTTTTTTCTTTGAATTTTTATATAATCAATTTACATTACAATGAATTACATCCTTTGAAGGCAAAAAAAATACAAATTTAGAAAAATAATTGTACATTTATTACGGAATGACCCCAAAAAAATTCAAAAAAACAGTTATAACTTTCAAACAAATTACCGGATCGTTGTGAAATTTAGTATTTATGTTCTTTGTAATAAAAAACACCCCTTAAAAGGAAAAAAATTTAAAATTTAGAAAAGAAGCGCATAATTTTTATGGAATGTACCTCAAAAAAATCCCAAAAAAAAACGGTTATAACTTCTAAAGAAATTAAAGAATTTTTATGAAACTTGGTAATTATGTTCTTTGCGATAAATGACATTCTTTGATTGCAGAAAGATACAAATTTAGGAATAAAAACGTATATATTTATTACGGAATGACCCAAAAAAAATCAAAAAAACAATTATAACGTTCAAAAAAAATTGACAGATCGTTACAAAACTTGATAATTATTTTGTAGAATTTTCATCAAATAATTAACAAGTTTTCATAACGATTCGATAATTTTTTTGAAAGTGAATACTGTTTTATGGAAATTTTTTGGGAACATTCCATAAAATGATTATGCGCTTTTTTTTCGAAATTTGTATCTTTCGGTAATAAAAGAATGTTATCTATCGCAATGAATATAATTACCAATTTTTGTAATGATTTAATAATTTTTTTTTGAGTTTATTAATTATTAATTAATTAATTAATATTACATATTAATTTTAAAATTTTAATTTTTTTTAATTTTTAATTTAATTTTTAAAAAATTTTTTATCTTTCTGCAATAAAAAAATGTCATTTATTACAAAGAACATAATTACCAAGTTTCACAACGATCCGGTAATTTGTTTGAAAGTTATAACTGTTTTTTTGGATTTTTTTGGGGTCATTCCGTAATAAATGTACATTTATTTTTCTAAATTTGTATTTTTTTGCCTTTAAACGATGTAATTAATTGTAATGTAATTTGTAAAGTGAATTTTCGCTTATATAAAAATTCTGTAGTATAGAAAATCGTTTTGATGAATATTCAGCAAAATATTAATTCGAAGAAATAAAAATTCGGCTAAAAAATAATTATGACTAATTAAATTCCATGAAAATTTTAATGATTTTTAGAACAAAAAAAATCTCTTCTATTCATTAAATTTTTGAATTTCATTGAATCGAAAAAGAAATCAGAATCAATATTTCAGTCAGTTAATATTGTATATTGTAATTTACAAAAAAAATTTTAACGAATTTCTCTCTTCATGATTTTGGAAAGAAACTCAGAAATAATTATTCTGTAAAATATGCCAGCAGCCTCAATTCTTGTATTCGATATACAACGATGATAAAAAGGTAGGCAAATTTTTTGATTAAAAGAAAAAAGAAAGATGCAGTTTTAATGATTCGTGAGAATTTTTGCTTTTTACGTGTGTTGAAAAATTTCTAAAGATTCCATAGATTTTGACGAGTCAAAAGAAGCTAAAAAAATAGTATCCTGATTATTGTTATTATTTTCGTGAGTCATTTCATCATTTTCAATACCTTCAGCTTTATTCAAAAGATTACGATATAGAAATCCTGTTCCAATTATAATTAATGGAAAAATAATACCAAAAAGAAAGCACATAGTTATTTTACAAATGATAGTTCTCATTAAACCTCTATATAATTCCATTTGTCTATTATTTTTATTATTATCAATTTCATATGGAAATTTCCATTTTCCTATTTCAATAAATTTTCTTCTATAGTCAACATTATTTTTCCATTCGCTATTATTTTTCAATTGAAATGTTTTTATGAAAATGGAACTTTGACTGGATTCCTCACTTTTTTCTGAACTATTATCTCCTCTTTCTATTATTACTATCGTTTCTTGTGATATTGATTTAGATTCATCTTCTGAATTTATTGCTCTGTATGGTTTTATTGTTAAAAATTCAAAGTCGGAGATTTCTGTTTTTGTATTTGATGATATTTTCTTGTATTTTTTGGATGATGGGTGTAAATTTTCTAATTCCATGGTATTTTGAGAAATTTTCCCTTTTGATGAGAGAATTTTTTTTGACAATTCTCCATTTGTATTTAGCAGATTAGCATTTTGGAAATTTTCCCTATTGTCTGAAAATATATCTACTTGTGATTTTTCAATTAAAGAAATTTTGCAATGTTGCGATGATGTACTTTCAGAAGTTTTTGAAGAACGTTGAAAATTCTTTGCTAAAATTGATGACGATTTATTTAATAAAATCTTGAGTTTAGATAATTTAAAATCTTCAATTTCTTTTGTTGAAAGAAAATTATTTTTTGTACAATCAACTGTGGCTTCTGGTCTCTTTTGATCCTCTATTTTTCCACTCGAATGTTTTAATAAAACTTCCCTTTTCGTTGAATCATTTCCCTTTATTGATTCATCAGAATTTGTCACCGAATTCGGTAAATTGTCTTTTTGGAAAATTTGCAAAGACTCATTATTTCTTGTTTGTGAATCCTTTGCATCGGAAGAATTTGAAGATATAGAATTATTGGACATAATTTTTGGAGGATTTATTAAAAAAAATAAAGATTTGTTGAGAGGAAAATAGAACAAATTTTTTTCGGGGGGTTGCTGCTTGATGATGATGATGATGATGATGAAGAAGCCGCTGTTGCTCTGCTACTGATGGTGACGTTGCTCCTGATTTTAGAAGCTCGACAAGGAATCGGCTGAACTGAAATTGAAAGAAAAAATCTTCAGTAAACTACAAGGTAGGCCATTTGTGGCATGTTTGTTACAGCTGCTGCACTAAGAGGAGTTTCTATTCAACGTGGACGAGTTGGTACAGCTAGAGCAGCATTTCCAGCAAGTGCTGCTGCACTTGCACTTGCCAGGAACCCAGGGCCACTTGCAGCTGCTGCTGCAGCAACGGCCCTGCATCCATTTGCACCTGCGTGAGTATTTATTTTACGCACAAGAAGAGAGCATCAAATTTTGAACCCCAAAAAGCTTTCTGCACCAAAATTACAATTTGTTGAAAATTTCAACATTTTTGAATTTTGAATTAATATTTTGCAGAATTTTCATCAAAACGATTTTCTATATTCAGAGAATTTTTATATAAACGAAAATTCACTTCACACAATTTTTATTTGTTCGAATTTTCATTTAACATAATATGCATTTAAAAGAATTTTTATTGAGTAGAATTTCATTGCCTAGAATTTTTTCTTTCAGATGAATTTTCATTTGTTTGAATTTATTATTTGATATAATTTCCATATAATCGATTTTTCATACTGCAGAATTTTTACTTAACCAAAAAATTATTTAACAGAATTTCTAATTTATAGAATTTTCATTTGTCCGAAATGGACAAAAGGAAAGGAACAAACAATCGATTTTTAAAATCAACTAATCACAATTTTATGGATAATTTTTGATTGGTTGATTTTAAAACATGATTTAGAATGATTGAGTAGAAAATATAAAAAAACATATCGACACAGAAATCTACCTCACCGACGGCCGGTAAAACAGTTGTTTGAAAAATGACAGTATAAAAAATTACCGACATAGGAATCTACCTTATCGATTGATGGTAAAGAAAATTTTGGAAAATGAAAATATAGAAAATTATCGACACATAAATCTACCTTACCGACTGATGGTTATATGGAAATTTTATCAAATAATAATTCAAAAAAATGAAAATTCATCTGAAAGAAAATTATATGCAATGAAAATAAAAAAAAATTCCAATTTTTGTGACCAGTTTTTTTTTGGAAAAAAATCCAAATAAAATTCGAGTTCTTCTCAAAAATTAAGATCTTGTTATGTATCAGAAAAAAAAGAAACTCACCTTAATAATTCCACATTAAATCAAAAATTTTCTTTTTCGTTTATCTGAAAAAAAATAACTTTTTTTGAAATATTATTAAATTAATTACAAATTTGTACAAAAGTAAAATTGTAATTTATTTATTTTCTTTTATTATTAATTTAATTATTTTTTTCTTTAATTTTAATTATTTACAATTTACTTTAATTATCACAGCAGTTAATATTGAAAAAAAAGTCATAAATTTGATGATAATTTAGACACACGAATAAATAATATTTCCTAATATTCAAATGACAGTAAATTGAATTGTATTATATCAAATTTCTAAATATGATTTTCGTTTAAATTATAATGTTAATTTGTAATTTGGTTAAATAGAAATTCTTATACAAATAATAATCTGATTAGAGGATAATTGGAATGAATTTATATATATTATCAGAGCTAAATTCAATCTAATTAATTGTTAGGAAATATTCACGTGTTATAATTTAATTGGATAAATTGATTTATTAGAAATTGAAAAACTTTTAATTTTTATAAAAGCGAAATTTTTTTTTTCTCAATTGTCTTTCTTTTTATATTATTTTTAATGAAAAAAAAATTATTATTTTTCTATAGTGATAGAAATAATTATTTTCAATTTTCTCATTTGTCTTGTAATTTTAGCAGAAAATATCACATAATAACTTCGTGTGTAGATATAAAGTTTGTTGGCCAATATATACTCACTGTGGCAAATTGCACGTGCTCGTTAATATTGTATCTGTCGAATTTATTGCACATTGCACGTTTCGCACTTAGTCTAACCTTTAACTTTTTAAGAAGTTAGCAATTCAAGAGAGTGAAGTCAGGAATTAATTTTAAAAAAAAAGTACAGAAACAGTAAAATGTCTACTAAAAAGTTTCTTTGTTTTGATTTTTTTAATTTTTCATCCAATAAAGAAAAATTTTTTTAATAAAATATTTTAAGATATATATCAAAAATTTAATATTTTATTTAAATTTTTTGTTTGAAATTAAATTTTTTGTTTGAAATTAAATTTTTTTTAAATCGAAAATTTATTACAAAAAATTAATTATACCAATAATACAGTAGTAAAATTAAATTCTTGAAATTGTCAAAAATTATTTTTCAAAAAGGGGTCGTCGCGAGGGAATGAAGGAAATTGAGAAATAATTAGAAAGTGAAGCTAATGTCGTTTTCTTAATTTAATTTCAGTGTCTACTACGATCCCTTCCTAGCAGCTCACGCAGCGACGCAGGACCCTAACTACAGGCTACAGGTGAGATTCCATTTCCGGTTGAGTATAAAGACCGGAATTTTGAATTTATTTCTCTCTCTTAAATGACAAAAAAAAAAAGAATTGATTTATGTTTTTTTTTTGTCTGAAAATTTTTGATAAAAAAAAATTGATAAATTTTTTTTATATACTCGTTCGTTTATAATACATTTTAAAATATTAGAATTTTTTTAAAATTCGAAATTTTTTTCTTTTTTTTTTTTATTTACTAAATAAAGACAATATTTGTTTACCACTCGGAATCACAGCTGGAATGGCCGCAAGCAACAGCTGACGTTAGTTGACACGTTTTTCCAGCCTTGCATAATAATAATGATAATGATATAGGATATGTCACTATATATCTATCTCGCTAAATCGTCCTCCTTTGTCGCCTTTTTAATGCTGTATGTATGCGAAATCATGCCGCATCCAAAAAAAAGAACGTCAGATTAAAAAAAAAATAAATTTTTTTTGTCCCGATAAGCATGCAAGTAGCGAGAATTTTAAAATATTATGAGCTTTTTCACAAAAGAACCATATTTGGATACATTTTTTTAGATATATTTTAAATTTTAATTAAATTGATCTGTACGATTTTTTATGGGTTGAGATAAAAATATTTTAGTTGGAATTTTTTTATAATTTTTTTTTTGTAATTCAAAAAGGGGTAAAAATAATAACTTTTTACTATTTTTTGTTAAATTGGCATTTTATAAATTTATTAAATTATTTTTTTTTAATTATTATGTTGTTACCTATAAATTATGTTATAAATTATTATTTTATAAATATAATTTTTTGTGATCTGCAATTTTGGAAAATTCGACCTAAAATGTCAAAAAATTTCGATTTTTGATTTTTTATCCCACATTTTGGATCAGTCATTTTGAATTTTTTAAAATCTGACTTCAGAATTCAAATTATCAGCTATCCGAAAAAATTCCTAAATAATTTTTATTCAATAGATTCTTTTATTTTACTAATATTAATTATAAATGTAAAATTTGGAATTTTTTTTTTTTTTTAATTTTTAGGGAAAGTTTTAATTCATCGAAATTTACAAAATTTTTAGGGGTGCCAATTTATTTTCCAAATATTATTGAAAATTTTTAATTATTCAATATCATAAAAGTACAGAAGGGAAAATTTTTCTTTTCTGTTTACCTGTTTATATGCGTAAATAAATAAATAAAAATAATGAAACAAAATGTTTTAAATAAATATAAACAAAAATTAATAATAAAACAAAAAAGTTTTTAATAGAAAAGAATAAAATTTAAATTCCTCTCATAATTTCAATTATTTTTATTTTCAATAATAAACGGGTTTACATAAAATTAAACTATCTATTACTACAATTTGTACTGTTTAACTTAAAATACAAAAAAAAAAAATGTAAATACAAAAAAACGGAAATTATTAAATTATTATTATTGTTATTATTTTATTAACCGGAATTATTTTTCGTTACTAATCTTTTTTTTACATTTTTTTTTCATGATTCTGAACAACAAAATATTAAATTTAAAAAAAATCCGAATTTTTTGAAAACAAAAATTAATTTTCTTAATTAAAAATATATTTCTAAAATAGTTAAAAATTATGTTTCTACAATTTTTCATAATAAACTATGATTTTTACATAGGTATTATGGAGTGTCAAATAAAAAATTGGTACCTCTAAAAAAAAGTAAATTTTGATTGATGATTCTTTTAAAATTCAATTTCATCTTCAATTTTAATTATTTTTCATTGTCAATATTTTTTAATATTTTTTTCCCCCATGATTCTAAACTATCAGTCATATATGGATTGTTAAAAATTTTCTTCTTTTTCAATAAAATAAAAATTTTAAACTGTTAAAAAATAATTTAAAAAAGAAAATTTGTATAAAATAATTTTAAATCCTAAATAATCTCAAAAAAAATAGGATAAATTCGCCGTTTTTTCTTTATTCCAGATCACATTTTTAAAAAATAAACGCGAGTATTATTATTTTTATATTTACTTTTTTTCAAATAAAAATTTACTTTTCACAACTACTCTTAAAATACACAGAAAAAAATTTATTTGCTTCAAATACTCGATTACTTGACTATTATTAAATAAATATTTACTTGAACCAAATAATTTTTATTTGAATTAAATAAATTGCATTTGAACCAATAATTTTTAAAAATTCATTTTTTCATATAAGAAAGTTTATTCGTCTCAATATTTATTTGATAATAGTCAAGTATTCCAGTATTTAAATCAAATAAATTTTTTTTCAATGTAAAGACTGGCATTGATTTTACAATAACTATAGTAAAATATTTAAATGTATAAAAATTAACAATTAATGTTAATTTTAAAATGTAAATTTACATTTTTAAATAAAAAAATATTATTATTATTATTTAATTTAAATTTAATTTAAATTTAATTTTCTGTAAATTTTATTAATTTTTTTAAGCGATTAAAAAAATTAAATTTGAAATAAAAAAGTAGATAACAAATTTTTATAAATTGTCTCCATTTATGGTTCTATTTTCTAATCTTTTTCACAAAAAAAAAAAATCTTGGACATTGAAGCATGCTCGGTTCATCTTATATTTTGTCATCTTGAAAGTAAACTCACACGATATAATAATTTACAAAAAAATTCATAAAAACACAACGAAAAATATTATAAAGTATAGAAAACAGAAAAAATTATTCTTTTCCAAAAGATTGAATTTTTCCTTTATATATTTTATTTTTCATTCTCTTTTTAACGAAATCTTATGATAATAATTTTAATACTAAAAAAAAATTTTAAGAAAATTTTTCACATTCATTAATAAATGGTATTATAAAATTAAAACGTAAAATATTTGCCAAAATAAATAAGACAAAGGAAATGACGTTTTGGGCAAGAGGAATAATCGTGATGAATCTTAATGGATTTTTGTTTTTTTTTATTTATTTTATTTATTTATTTTTTTTTTTTGTTAAAAAAAAGTAAAATGAGTGGACGAAAGAAAAGAATGAAGGAAAGGAAATTGATTTATTTAATTCAGTATATATAATTGAAAGTAGAAAAAAAAATAATTAAAGAAAGAAAGCAAAAAAAAAAAGAGAAAAAAAATTGTAAATGTCCCTGATTGATTTAATCAAGAGTGGCCTATAATTGAGATTTCGGAATAGGTATTGGGCTTGACTATTTTCAGGAATGCCATTTGTGTTTCAGGCAAAAGCGCCCGCTCTCGAGGTAGGAATTACAGTTTGCCTGTATTTATTTTCCTTCTCTGTTTTTTAATCTCTGTTTATTATTACCTTGTATTTTTTTTTCGTTAACTTTTTCCTTAAAAAAAAAAGTAAACAAAACCTGTGTTTGTTCGCATCATATCCGAGTTATATTCTATATTTATATAGAGAGAAAAAATATATATATTTCAAAAAACAGTCGACCCTTCTATATATCACGATGCGTTATATTGCCCTTTTTTTGGCTAGCTTTTTATTACATTTTTCTCCTTTTTACTGGGATTCATCACAGAGTCAAGTCAGTAGCTTTATAAATACCAACGGGGTGTTTTTTTTCAATCTTCACATTTTGCACGGGAGTTCCTTGTAGATAGCGTGTATTGTCGAGCAATTAATGTTATATCAAATTTTTATTTTGAAAAAAATCATTTTTTCGTAAAAAATTATTTTTATTTGAAAATTTATTTTGAAAAAAAAATTATTATTTTTTTGCAAAAAATTATTTTTTCAGAATCATTAATTTAAAAAAATAGATTTTACTAAATTAAATTAAAAAAAAGTAAATTCAACTAATTTTTTTTTATTTAATTTTAATAAAAATAATTTTCTAAAAAAATTAAATTTTCGTGACGATTTTTTTTTTGAAAAATTTTATCTAACATTAATTGCCTAGAGGTTTAGAGTTTTTTCATAAATTATTATTATTATTGTTGGCTTGAAATATTGGGATTCGAATTTGGGCCTTTGATATTTTACGCATCGTTTCAATTTTCTGTAAATAATAATTTTCCGGATTGAAAAAAATTAGCGTTTTTTCCCTCCCTTTAATTAATTTGTTTCCAAAGTAAAAGAAAAAAACGTTTTGCGCCACTGATTAAAAAAAAAAATTATCTACTATTTTTTTCTGTTTCGAAAAATCAGTTGCGAAATACGATATGTTTTTTTTTGATATTGCATTAGAACACGGTTTTTGTAAATAAGTTTCTAAAGCATGATTAATAATTAGAACAAAAGTAGATTATAAAATTTAAAAAAAAGGGAATTAAAAAAAAATTAGTGCTTTGAAAAGAAATTCCGGTGATGGATCAGAATTTCTATTTTTTTTTAGAAAAAGAATTAATTCTACATTGAATGAATGAATCATATTAGAATAAAAACAGGCCTCGGTTCGACTTTAAGACACAAAAAAAGTTATTTTAGTCTATTTATATTTAAAAAAAAGTCGATTTTCTTTATTTTAACAAAATTTAATTGGTTAATAAATATTTTACTTTAAATAACTAATGTTAATAGATATTAAATTCATTTTATTAATTCTGTAATAAAAATAATTCTATAATGAATATTATCAAGAAACTTTATTTCGAATATTTCAGAATCAAACTAATTGTAAGACAAAATTTCAAAATTTTTTTTAACTAGAACAAATTTCTAAAAAAAATTCTTAATGTTCCACTTTTATAATTTTTTGAAGTTTGATTTAAGTAATTTATTCGAATTATAAATTTTATCATAGTTTTTAGTTTTGATGTTCAAAAAAATGTCAGGCAATACTTAATCAAGTTTTGCAGATTTTTAAATAAAAATTTTCGAAGAGTTAAAGTTAAAATTTTTAGATATAATTAAATTTCAAGAGATTTTGTTAATTTTCAGTCAATAATTAAATTTTACAGAACAAAAAATAATTTATCAAATAATTTTAGATAACATTTTTTAAAAGTAATTGAATTTTCAAAGATTTACAATTTTGATTTTTAAAATTAATTAAACTTCAAGTGATTTTTAATTAAAATTTTTTTTTGATAATTTCACAAAAAAATTTATTAGAAATTGCAAACAAAAATACAATAATTTGAAAACAATTTTTAAGTGAAAAATAGTTTCAGATAGTTGAATTTTAGATTATTATTTAAAATCATTAAAAATAATTGAATTAAGGTTACAATTGAAATTATTAAATTTCAAAAAATTTTAGATTGAAAATTCTAGAAATAATTAAATTTTAGAAGCTTTTAAATTAAAATTTTTGAAAATAATATTGAATTTCACAAAAGATTGTGTTAAAT